AAAACCCACATGGGAGTTTCCGAAAATACGGGGCACCTTATTTTGGTGTCCTTATAATGGGGATCCTACTATTTAGGGTACTATATCAGGGTCCCCTATTTTCGGAAAGCCCCTCATGCTTCTCACAGTGCAAACATCTCCGGCCTGGAGGCCATGAAACTGCAAGTACTCTCGGACAGCTTCCACCTGAAAGGCTTAGGGTTTAGGGTTTAGGGATTTAGGGGTTTAGGGTTTAGGGTTTAATTAGGGGTTTAGGGTTAATGTTTAGGGTTTAGGGTTTAGGATGCTTGTCTGGCGAGAAATTGGACTCTGGACGGTCTAAGCATAAGACTTCAACAGCCTTAAGAAGAGTTTACACGTGTAAGCTCCACGCGTTACTGTACCCTCGAACCCGCCTGAGATCTTATACATTTTATCAAATGTCCTCATGACAAAGCTTCTTGAAACACCTCAGCGATCTGCCGCGTTGAGGCCCGAACCACGAGCAGCTCACAGATCAAGCCGCCGAAGTTGCCTGCGGGCATTGTTTAGGGTTTAGGGCAAAATCGGCCTCCACACTGAAAACAAAAATACCCGCTAGCCGCCTTACGCCCGAAATGAAAACACTTGGAAGAAGTGTAAGCCCACGGCAGTCTCGCAGTACCGGGGTGGAGCTTGCAGCTGCATACATCTCGGTGACGAGGCTTTAAAGTCTTCCGGGCTTGTGTCGATACTGAAGGAAGGTCACCATCAAAAAGCGACAACATCGTCATCATCATCATCATGATCATCACCGGCATCGAAAAGATAACAGCACGCACAAATTCGAAATCCATGTCGCTGCCGTCGCCATGCGCACGCTCTCTGGATCGTGGTCGCCACAGCATCAACACACATTTCCCAGTTAACCTTCAGATACCAATGGTATACTTTTGCTCGAACGGATTGCAGCGAAGCGCTCCGAGGCTGCCACCAGAGGGTCTCCGTTTGGGTTCCGGGGCACCTGCACCTGCTCGAAGCGAGGGGTCACAGTGGGAAGCCGCGCCCTTGATACTGCAGAGCTAGAACTGTAGACTCATTTTGTCAGGCATTTACAGGACTCTAACTAACATCGACTACGGTTACGACTACGACTAGTTGTACCACTACCGCTCCTGCTTCTAATGCTGCTACTGCCACTGCTACTGCTTCTGCTTCTGCGTCCATTGCTTGTACCACTAAAGCTACTACTACTAGTGGCCAAGAACCTTTGACAAGGTGGCTCTCAGTGCTCATAAGACTAAGAGCTTCACAAAAAGGGACCCTCATATAGATCCTGGACAGTGGGGTTCATGACAAGCAACACATTCCTGAATACCACACGACCCCTGTATTGTAGTACTCATGTTAACCCGCGCAGAAAAAACAGACAAGCCCCTGAACACATTATACAACTCAGATGCGGCAACGCCTTTGCGAATCATGCAGCCCCTGAAAGATCCCCTACACCCACAACTTTATAAGAAGCCCATAGCAGCTTTAACATAGCTATCCCTTAATCAAGATTCCCCTATCCTACAAGCTCTAAACCCTTGCAGTAATTGTAACCACAATCCCTGAGTAACCCTTATATTAGACCCCTCAAAGGGAACCTTCCAGAACCTTTATTGTGAACCTGAAAACCCTGCCAGTAGGTCTGAAAGGAGCCCTTTGAAACCCTTCAAAATCCTGACCGAACCCCTATAGCATGCCTTACAGAACCCGTAGAGTACGATGTTAACCCTACAACCTCCGAGAAACGCTTCTAATAACCTGCAGAGACCCCTTATAGTAACTCTAAGCCCTGTACTACCCTTCTATAGGAATAGTATCCCTGAATCCCTGATAGACTCCTTGAAAGAACCCCTAAAAGTACGGTCCCTTATAGGTCCCTTAGCCCCTTAGAGTACCCCCGATGTAGTATCCCTTATAGCCTTATGGATCCCTTAAACAAGCCCTTAGACCCTAAACCCTAAACCCTAAACCCCTGATTCTCTGGCCTCTGCTTCGGGGCTCTCGTGCTGCTCTGGCGAGGCTTGCGACAGGCTCGGCCGGGCAGCCTCCCGCGAAAACCGTGAAGCCCCGGTTTAGGGTTTAGGGGTGTAGGGGTTTAGGGGTTTAGGGTTTAGGGGTTTAGGGGTGTAGGGGTTTAGGTTTCAGGGTGTAGGTTTAGGGTTTGGGGGTTTACGGGTTTCGGTTTAGGGGGCTTCAGCGTGTAGGTTCAAGGCTTTGGGTTTGGGGGTTTCAGGTTAAGGGCTTGGTGTTCATGGTTTAGGTTTCAGGGAGCAAAAATAGGCATATGCATATGCATATATTATTCTTACACGGATAAGAATCTACGTATTTTAACTGTGTGCACTCAAAAGCAGAACAATCATCTAATTTCCAATAGCTCGAGCTCTCACTCAGAAAATCCGAAAACCCAGACTCAGACTCCGCCCCAAATGCTGGAAGGACCTCCACAATTACATATATACATATTTGATGTACAATTCTGTGTATGTATATATATATATATATGTGTGTGTATATATATATATATGTATGTATATGTATATATATGTATATATACGTATGTATATATATATATATGTATGTATATAGATATACGTATCATACTGTTCACCCTAAAGCCTCCCTAAGCACGAAAATCCGAGTCCATTAACCCAAGCTACTCCATGCTATCCTACGGTATCCGATACATTAACATCCTATAATACCCCATCCATTCCTGTAAATATCACACGGTATCCCAAAAATCTTCTACTCTGCCACCATATCCTATCATCTCCTGCGCTCTCCAGTTAATATCATAGTATCCATGACTATCGCACAATAGCCTTCAACATCTTATAAAAACCTTGTAACATCCCACTATCCCATATTATATCCTGTAGTATCCCAAAAATGTCCCCTAACATCGTGTTCTCCCGCTCCGCGTAATGTACAGGCCTGAATAATTCGCACAGGGTTTTGGGGTACATTATACTATAACTATAATAAGGACCCCCCCAAAACAAAATAGGTTGGGTAACTATTAGGATTTTGGGGTATATTCTACTAGAATCATAACAAGGAACCCCCCCAAAAAAGTATAGGTAATTGAAAAGGCCCCTATATACTATGCTATATTTATAATCATAATAAGGAACCCTCCAAGAATAGTTTGGGTAATTCTTATGAGGCCCCTATAGTCACAGCCTGAAACCCCTAAACCCTTAATAGTTTGGGTAACTCTTAAGTCCCCTAAATTAGTTCGGGTAATTCTTAAGTCCCCTATATTGGTTTGGGTAATTCTGTAGTCCCCTAAAATAGTTCGGGTAATTCTTACGTCCCCTATAATAGTTTGGGAAATTCTTAAGTCCCCTATAACAGTTTGAGTAATTCTTTGGTCCCCTAAATTAGTTCGGGTAGTTCTTACGTCCCCTATAACTGTTTGGGTAAGTCTTTGGTCCCCTAAACTAGTTTGGGTAATTCTTAAGTCCCCTAAAATATTTTGGGTAATTCTTATAAGGCGTCTAAATTAGTTTGGGTAATTCCTAAGTCCCCTATAATAGCTTGGGTAATTCTTAAGTCCCCTAAATTAGTTTGGGTAATTCTTATAAGGCCCCTATAATTGGTTCGGGTACTTCTTAAGTCCCCTATAATAGTTTGGGTAATTCTTTGGTCCCCTATAATAGTTCAAATAATTCTTACGTCACCTATAATAGTTTGGGAAATTCTTAAGTCCCCTATAATAGTTTGAGTAATTCTTTGGTCCCCTAAATTAGTTCGGGTAATTCTTAAGTCCCTTATAACTGTTTGGGTAAGTCTTAAGTCCCCTAAATTAGTTTGGGTAATTCTTAAGGGTGATTCTTATAAGGCGCTTAAACTAGTTCGGGTAATTCTTAAGTCCCCTAAACTAGTTTGGGTAATTCTTAAGTCCCCTAAATTAGTTTGGGTGATTCTTGTAAGGCCCCTAAATTAGTTCGGGTAATTCTTAAGTCCCCTATACTAGTGTTGGTAATTTTTAAAGCCCCTATTTTTGTTTGGGTAATTCACGTCCCCTATAATAGTTTGGGAAATTCTTAAGTCCCCTATAATAGTTTGGTTAATTCCTAAGTCCCCTATAATAGTTTGGGTAATTCTTATAAGGCCCCTACATTACTTCGGGTAATTCTTAAGTCCCCTATAGCTGTTTGGGTAAGTCTTAAGTCCCCTAAATTAGTTTGGGTAATTCTTAAGGGTGATTCTTATAAGGCCCCTAAATTAGTTCGTGTAATTCTTAAGTCCCCTAAATTAGTTTGGGTGATTCTTGTAAGGCCCCTAAATTAGCTCGGGTAATTCTTAAGTCCCCTATAATAGTGTGGGTAATGCTCAAAGCCCCTATATTTGTTTGGGTAATTCCTTGGTCCCCTAAATTAGTTCGGGTAATTCTTAAGTCCCCTATAACTGTTTGGGTAAGTCTTGAGTCCCCTAAATTAGTTTGGGTAATTCTTAAGGGTGATTCTGAAGGCCCCTAAATTAGTTCGGGTAATTTTTTAAGTCCCCTATAATAGTTTGGGTAAGTCTTATAAGGCCCCTATATTAGCTTGGATAATTCTTAAGTCCCCTATAATAGTTTGGGTAAATCTTAAGTCCCCCAAATTAGTTTGGGTAATTCTTAAGTCCCCTAAAATAGTTTGGGTAATTCTGATAAGGCCCCTAAAGTAGTTTGGGTAATTCTTAAGTCCCCTATAAGCTTGAGTAATTCCTAAGTCCCCTAAACTAGTTTGGGTAATTCTTATAAGGCCCCTAAATTAGTTCGGGTAACTCTTAAGTCCCCTATAATAGCTAGAGTAATTCTTTGGTCCCCTAAATTAGTTCGGGCAATTCTGAAGTCCCCTATAACTGTTTGGGTAAGTCTTAAGTCCCCTAAATTAGTTTGGGTAATTCTTAAGGGTGATTCTTAAGGCCCCAAAATGAGTTCGGGTAATTCTTAAGTCCCCTATAATAGTTTGGGTAATTCTGAAGTCCCCTATAATAGTTCGGGTAATTCTTACGTCCCCTATAATAGTTTGGGAAATTCTTAAGTCCCCTATAATAGTTTGAGTAATTCTTTGGTCCCCTATATTAGTTCCTGTAATTCTTGAGTCCCCTAGAACTGTTTGGGTAAGTCTTAAGTCCCCTAAATTAGTTTGGGTAATTCTTAAGGGTGGTTCTTATAAGGCCCCTAAATTAGTTCGAGTAATTCTTAAGTCCCCTAAATTAGTTTGGGTAATTCTTATAAGGCCCCTAAATTAGTTCGGGTAATTCTTAAGTCCGCTATAATAGTTTGGGTAATTCTTTGGTCCCCTATAATAGTTCGGGTAATTCTTACGTCCCCTATAATAGTTTGGGAAATTCTTAAGTCCCCTATAACAGTTTGAGTAATTCTTTGGTCCCCTAAATTAGTTTGGGTAATTCTTAAGGGTGATTCTTAAGGCCCCTATATTAGTTCGGGTAATTCTTAAGTCCCCTATAATAGTGTGGGTAATTCTTAAAGCCCCTATATTTGTTTGGGTAATTCTTACGTCCACTATAATAGTTTGGGAAATTCTTAAGTCCCCTATAATAGTTTGGGTGATTCTTGTAAGGCCCCTAAATTAGTTTGGGTAATTCTTAAGTCCCCTATAAGCTTGAGTAATTCCTAAGTCCCCTAAACTAGTTTGGGTAATTCTTATAAGGCCCCTATATTAGCTTGGATAATTCTTAAGTCCCCTATAATAGTTTGGGTAAATCTTAAGTCCCCTATAATATAGAGTAATTCTTTGGTCCCCTAAATTAGTTCGGGTAATTCTGAAGTCCCCTATAAGCTTGGGTAATTCCTAAGTCCCCTAAACTAGCTTGGGTAATTCTTAAGGGTGATTCTTAAGGCCCCTAAATTAGTTCGGGTAATTCTTAAGTCCCCTATAACTGTTTGGGTAAGTCTTAAGTCCCCTAAACTAGTTTGGGTGATTCTTGTAAGGCCCCTAAATTAGTTCGGGTAATTCTTAAGTCCCCTATAATAGTGTGGGTAATTTTTAAAGCCCCTATATTTGTTTGGGTAATTCTTACGTCCCCTATAATAGTTTGGGAAATTCTTAAGTCCCCTATAATAGTTTGGGTAATTCCTAAGTCCCCTATAATAGTTTGGGTAATTCTTGTAAGGCTCCTAATTTAGTTTGGGTAATTCTTATAAGGCCCCTAAATTAGTCTGGGTAATTCTTTAAGGCCCCTACGTTCACCCGAAACTCTTACTTAGCCCGGCCGCTCCCGGCGCCGCTGCGGCGGAACCCGCCGCCATGTCCGGCTCGGCCTCACCTCTCAGGGCTTAGGGATTTAGGGATTTAGGGATTAAGGTTTAGGGTTTAGAGTTTAGGGTCAAGACTTCGCAAATAATTGTTAAAGGAATTAAAGCGGGCTCTTTAAGGTCTGAATAGGGTGGCTTAAGGTTTAAGGGTTCCTTGAAAGGGCTTAGCGTTCAAAGGAATTCAGAGCTCCTCAAAAGGTTATAGGGTTGAGGGTTTAGGGCTCCCCTGAGGGCTTATTTCAGGGAAGGGTTTCAATAAGGGTTCAGGGTTTAGGGCATACAGGGTTTCAATCTAAGGTTAGAAAAAGGGGTTCCTATATAGGGGTTACTAAACAGGCTACTAATGGGGCTTAGACTTTGAGGAACTGATGTGTAGGTTTGAGATTTGATCGTTTAAGGCTTGGGGTTCATCTTCTACTGATAAAAGACATGCAAGATAGATTCCTACGAAACTCCCGGAACACAGCTTGGAAGGCACTTTGGGCTCCAACAGGGCCTTGGGATCATGGATGGGTCTAGGGTTCAGGGTGTAGCGCTTCGTTCTTTAGTTTGGGCTTTCGGTTGGCTTTAGGTTGGGGCCGAACGTTTTAAATACCTCCCATAATATCCTATAAAATCCCTAAACCCTAAACCCTAAACCCTAAATCCCAGAATACCGGCATGAGCAACTGAAGGTCTGGGCATCTCACTCGCTTGGCTTTGAGCTGTGGAGCCGTCTGCAGACTCCCCCTGCCAGCAGAGACTGGGGTTTAGGGTTTAGGGTTTAGGGTTTAGGGTTTAGGGTTTAGGGTTTAGGAGTCTAGGGTTTGGGCTTTGGAACTTTGGGAGTCTGGGTTAGAGGACATGAGGACTCGCGATCTCTTCACAGGCTTTTTCTGGACCCAGGTCATTATTGCCCTCAATGGATCGTATTCGCACGCGAGTTGCGAATGGCTGTCAAGGTTTGCATCCCCCAAACCCTGAACCCCTTGACAATCCTGAAATCTTGGCACCACAAAACCCTGAGCCCAAAAAACCAAACCCTGAACCAAAGCCTGAACCCTGAAACCTAAAGCATAAATCCCGAGAACCGAAGCCCGAAGACCCACACCCGACAGACCTCAAACCCCTAACGCCGAAGTCAGACAGACCTCAAGTTCAGAAATCAAAGCTTGCAAACTCCAAAACCCTAACCCTAAATCCAACAGAAACCTACCGGCACCCCCCAAAGACCACAAACACCAACAAAAAAACTGATGTTGGGTGTGGACCTCTGCGCCCATCGAAGCAACACCTGCCGACTGCACTTTTCCTCCTCCTCCTCCTCCTCCTCCTCCTCCCCCTCCCCCTCCCCCTCACCCCCCTCCCCCTCGTCCTCCGCAAGTTCTCCATGGTATTAGGTATCATTACTATGTTTACGACTATTCCAAATATTTCTGCAGGTGCTATCGGTATTACCACTGTAAACTCTTACTATCATTACCACCATTAGCAGTGGGAGTCGTAGTAGTAGGAGTAGAGTGGTGGTGGTGAAGGTGGTAGAAGTAGTGGTAGGAGGAGGAGGAGGAGGACTAGGAGTACGAGTAGGAATAGGGTTAGGAGCAGTAGGAACAGCAGGAGTAGTAGGATAAGTAAGAGTAGTAGGAGTAATAGCCGCAGTAGTCGTAGTAGTAGTAGTAGTCGTCGTCGTCGTCGTCGTCGTAGTAGTCGTAGTAGTAGCAGTAGTAGTCGTCGTCGTCGTCGTAGTCGTAGTCGTAGTCGTAGTCGTAGTCGTTGTCGTCGTCGTCGTCGTCGAAATAGTAGGTGTAGTAGTAGTAGTAGTAGTAGTAGTAGTAGTAGTAGTAGCTGATATGGTAGTAGCAGCAACAGCACCAGGACAATGAGAAGATGCAGGCTGGAGGAGAAGCATGAACAACGCAGAGACTCCATGGCCCACGTGGCATCACACCACCTGCCTTGGACCTGTCAGGCCGCTTATCTGATAAACTTCAAGACCGAAAATCTTGGCGCAAGCGCCGCAAACTACGGCCCACTAGCGCCTCCGCCGTCTGCGGGTCACTTGCATGGATGGCCTCGCGCTTGAGGTTTGGGGTTTGGGCTGTGGGGCGTTGGTGGAAAGCCGGGAATGCTTGTGGTATTAGGATATAGGCGGATGTGGAGCGTTGGGTCGTCGGCTTGAGTAGTGCCGGAACTACGTTACCCAAAAGAAAGGAGTTGCATTCGGAGCTCAGCACAGCGACTGAATGTGAGAATGCAGCTTGCCCCGGCCTCGTCGCAGAGAGGTGAAAAAACAAGAGGATACAAGCATCAGATCCATGTTGTTTCGGGTGTTGGGGTTTCCGTTTCCGGGGTTTAGGCACAAGGCCTTAAGGATGCAGGCAGTTTTAGGGTTTGGGGATTCGTCGGGTTCTTCCCAGGGCTCACAGTTTAGGGTGTGTGTCACCACTCGGATCCCGCCAAGTCATGTGAGTGCACTGCGTTAGCTCGAGTCATTGTTTGTAGGGTTTCGAGCAGGGCTGTTCGGAGTGGCTGCTGGATGCGTCATCCATGCCCTCTGCGCATCGGTGAGGGGGCTTTGACTCGTCGTGCCACGTGCGCTGCTTGCTGCGGTCTGTCAGTCACAGAGCTTGGAGCTGAAAGGGCACAGTGTGACGACTACGAATAATAGTAATAATGATTTAATACTAATGAAAACAATAGCACTAGTCATCCGCATAGTTAATGCTCACCACAGTAACGAGAACAACACCAATAACTAATGGAAATAATCTTATGAAGTGCAAGGCTTCTCAGCAAGGTATGCACGATGCATGCCTTTGGCAGCGAGACTTCTGCCGGCACTGAAGGCAATTTCGCCTTCCGCTCCTTATTGGATGCGTCGAGGGGCGGCCGTTTTGGCCTGCCTCCTCCCTGCTTTCTACGCACTTGCACGCCTTTTCGGCTCAGGATCCGGACTCTTCCGAGCCCTCGCTTGTGGAGGCAACTTCGGAGCGACTCCTGAAGCGAATTCGGTCCTCTCGCGCCTGGAGCTCTCGGAAACGAAGTCAGTGCTGTCACGGCTTGCTTGTCGTCTGGCGCTTGGACCTGTCCAGAGAAGAATATTCGCAGGGTGCCCCAAATCGCTCTCATGGACACTCCACGGATTCACAACACAACCATACAAAATAGCGCCAATAAATCGCAGGAGCCTTATAAGCCCCAATGAAAGAATTCTGAAGGAGCAATATTGCCGGCAAAACTGTCCATGGCAGCAATCATGGCAAACTTCGGAGGCTGAATGAAGCACGAAGGAAGAGGAGGAATACAGGGCCCGTAGTAATTAGACTCGGGTGTGAGGGGCGCATTACACTATATTATTTATACTTTACTAGGGACTATAACGGGATGCTACTTTTAGTAATTCAGACCCCTGTAAATCTCTGCAGAGTTCAGCTGCCCTTGCAATGACTATGACTACCGCTGCAGGAATGACTTGTACTATAGCTAGCTCTGGTATGGCCACGACTGGCGAACCAGGCTGATATTTCATCTGACTCATTTGCCACTATGATAGTTATTACAATCAGAATCGTCATCGAAATCAAAACCTGGCAGCCCTGGCAAGTCCGCCCCCGGTTTACCTGAGGCTCGTTGGGAGGCGGCGCGCTGCTTCTCCTGCTGGAGCTGAGTGTGGGAGTTAGTATGTCAAACTATCTACTGTCTATCTCCCTTTCTATGTACAAGAAGACATATATATATATATATATATATGTATAAATATATATATATATATATACATATATGGGACTCTTCTGTTGACTCCGACCTCGCGATTCTTAGGCAGAATGCATGGGTTCAGCTAAACCCCTAACCCTAATCCCTAAACCGTGTGTGGCTTTGAAGGCTTCGCTGTAGGATTCAGTTTGGATCATCGCTGTTGGGGGTTGGGATTTCTGAGGTGCATAAACTGGTAGCAACAACAACAATAATCATATCTACTAATAAGATTATCTTTGGCAGGAGTCACTACGGGCAATCTGCTCTTACAGATCTAGAAGACTCTCCAACTTGGGTTCGTTTAGAAACCTGCTACGAATAATATACATGCTGGGGATCCAAACAAAGGGAATCACCCTGATCCACCAGCACCAAAAACAGAATCCCAGCGATCACGCACCACAGACATCATCATGATCATGATCATCATGATCATCACCATCAACATCATCACCGTCACCATAACTAACATCATCATAATCCTCATCATCATCATCATCACCAACATCATAAATATCATTTCTTCATCGTCAGCATAATCATCATAATTGTCATCACAATCAGCGTTCACATCCTGTCATCAGCATCGTCGTGCAGCCTCTTCCCCATACGCTTAATCATCATCAGAACTGAAGCCCGTGCGTGCCTCGGTATCTCTGTCTCGGTCTCGGGGTGCTGCAACTCCTTGGAAGAGCCGCAGGACACAACAAGCCCGGTCTTATAGTCGAAGAAACTACCAATGGAGCCTCTGCAGTTAAAACAGGATACTAAGAAGAAATCATGCGTAAGTGCAAAGCAACAATAAGAAAAACTTCCAACACCCCATGAACTTTTTGGTTCATGACTAGTTCATGCATGTTTACCATAAGCGCAGCCTTCTGTTATACTGGGTCTACTACGGCGACAGTTAATGACCAAAGGCTTTTTGGGCGGTAGTAGCATCGTTCTGTCCAAGCAACACTCCAAAAATAATAACAACGCTAGAGAGCCAACACAAGTTTCTGATCACACACTTATCTAACTTACTTGCGAAAGCGCACTAGCAAAGCCGCTTGAACAACCGGAGAAAAGGATCTGACTATCTACTTGCATGCCATGCAAAAACCTGTAACCCATGTACAGCCTGAGGCTGCAAACATTAAACTCACTAAAACCCGAAAAGCAGATGCTTCAATGAGCAACTGATGCTAGCATTCTTACTACTGCGCCTACCTCGGCTGTAGTCGCTGCTGCTGCTAATCTACTCCTGCTGAGTATTCTCCTTCAACACGGCACTCTAAACCCCAAGCCGAACTGTTTTGCTGCGCCATCATGGGCCAGGCCCCTAAAGCAACCCAAAATGCAGCAAAACCCCGAAATTATGGATTGGGATCGCCTGATCATTGCAAGCAACAGAGTATAGGAGACACTTTACGATAAGTCGTCGTACAGGATCGGATTGTAGAGGGATGGTACTACTGAGTTTCCCAAAACCCCACAAAATCTCACCAACTGCCTTAACCCTGAACCCTAAACCCTAAACCCCAAAAGAACAGTCTCAGGGGCGCGCTCTTGGGAACCACGTAGGACCTCCGTTTGGTTCCCAAAAGCCCCGGGGCAGCACCGTGCCTCGCAAAGGGAGGCTTGAAGTTTTCAGGCTTGGCTTTAGAGGGTTTAGGGTTTAAGGTTTAGGGTTTAAGGTTCAGGGTTCAGGGGTTTAGGGTTTAGGGTTGAGGTAGTAAGCTGACCCATGGGTCTGTACACCTTGGACCAAAGACGTTCTCGCTGCCTTGCCAAACACATACCATAGCCATTCTAGTCATGGCAACTAGGATGATGCGTAGCTACAGGGATCCGTAGCAACCATCGAGCTACTGGCTAGCTGTGGTTGCCTTGGAAGGACGGAACCCGGACCTTCCAAGCGGGTTTATTCCCTTTCGTATCGGGTGCCCAGCACTGAGGCGCACGACCGCCTACGTATTTCGGGCGTTCTTCAGGAAAAAGCCCCAAACGACAACCCCAACTCCCAAGCCTGGAAGCCTTCCGTCAAATGAGAAGGTCCCGAAATAAATGTCTTTGCCTAGTTGGTAGAGGTATCTCTGTTAGGGTGCTGTGCCATGATGATGCCGTTCTGAAGATGCATCTAGATCATCTAGCCGTAATGATTGTTTACTGCTGTACAGCTTGTTCATTGTCTTCCTTGATACCGATAATGTGCAACTGCATCACCCCATCTCTGACCACCGTCGAAATCCCGGACGCTCAAATTCTTAACATTTTCCATGCTAGCCACATATCCTGAACCCGAAGCATCTGAACCCTGAAGCCTAACCACGAATCCTAAGAGAAACAATACCCTTAGCCGAAAAGCGAAACCCTATGTAAACCCCAATGCCATTGAATTCCCTGCGCTGGGAGTTTGAGGGCGCAACGGCTCCACACGAGCTGCGCAAGTGAGCAGGGGATGCACCTCCCAAGTAAGGAGCTGTTGCTTGCTTTGGTTGGCGGCTGTAAATGGTGTCTCAGGGCTTTATGTCTCGGGGATTCATACAGGTTTTTGTTGCAGATATCGGGGCTTGTGCAGGATTTTGGGGGCTAGAGCTTCGGGGTTTGGGATTTGTGGTTGCGCTTAAGGCATCGCACTTCGGGCTTGAGGCACGAAGGAGTGCAGGTTTTTACTTGCAAGGGTTTAGGGTTTAGGGTTGCAGACCAGGGCAGCAGAGATTTCGATTTAGGCTTCACGATTTTGGAGGTGAGGCTGGTGTTCGGGAATCAATAAGGCGCGGAGCTGCCTGCGGGATTACGAAACTCTGGCTTGGATTCCGAAACCGGGCCCGAGTTGTAGGGCCAACTGCTTCCGGCGACCCTAAACCCCAGGCCTCCAACCAATCCCTTCAATCCCGAGTCCCGCCCCGAAAACCTAAACCCTAGTAAGACGAATGAAACCCAAAACCCTGGCAACCTGCCTCGGTGATCCTGTCCACCGAAGCGTAGTACCTGGCAAGGTGACTCCCGGATAGGCACCGTCCAGCGGAACCGCGCAATCGCGACACAAAAACCGGCGTGGAACAGCCATCTTCATATCGGCAATTGTTTACTGCAGCGTACCTTGACCATGCCAGGTTCATGTATACATTGCATGCATCCAGACCCATAGACCTACACACGTACACACGTACACATGCATCCATACATGCATCCATACGTACGTACGTACGTACGTACACATGCACATACGTACATACGTACATACATACAGACACATACATACATACATACATACATACATACATACATACATACAGACACATACATACATACATACATACATACATACATACATACATACATACATAGATACATGTCTATGTTGATCTATCTCTTCGTCTGTGTCTCTTCGAAGCAAATGCATGAATAGATGCACGTAAAATTGGCGCAGCACATGCAGGCTGGATGTGCTGTGGGTGCCCGGAAGCCTTTGAGCCTCCGAGTCCCCGGCCACTCCGGCATGTTGCTGAGACCACACTCCTCGATGAGCTGAACCAGCCTGTTCTGGCAACCTCCGAGGACACGCAGAACCCACGACATGATTGCAACGACGAAGGAATGGCAGCAATCCCTGCTGCTGCCATTGCAATAGTCGGTCCCTGCCGAGATGTGCTGCAGCCGGCAATACACAAACAGAGTTCACGAAGAGATTGCTTCTGGGGCTGACTTTCAAGTGAAGCCAAGGAGTCCCACACACTGCAGTGCTGCAGGTTTCGAGCTTTGTGCCTTTAACTTAAGGCTTCTGATTCGCAATCAACCACAACTGGAGCTCAATGCACGCTTCGGCTGCTTTGGATGTCAGGGTTACGGGCTTCAGGCTGTGACAAACTGTGTTGCAACATGCTCCATTATGACTATGCTACAATTTTCATCTGGCTGATGCCAAAGAGTTGCACTTCGCTTTAACAGCCGTGTTGTGCAACACTACATTCGCGACATTGCCTGTGCAGTGCATTACAGCAAATCGCAGGTCTTGCATGAAGTTGTCTCGGTACCTAGCATATTTCATTGTTGCCTCTCGGGGATAAAGTTGGTTGAGAGAAAGTCTGATATCACATGACGAATGTTGTGGTCACATTCTGGTTGTAATAGCATCTATTATCAAACCTCTCTCTGTTACGACGATAACTATCATGTCTCCGGCCCTCATGTCCACGTAAACCCTCATCCCTGAACCCGTAGCGGCGCACCCCGAGCCCGCTGCTGTAGGGGCCTTAATAATTAGAACGGGGTTTGGGGGGTTCCTTATAACACTTTATAGTATAATCTACTCCAAACCCTATTCTAATTATCAAGGGCCCCTACATTACTGTCTTCACCGTTGGCTGAGCCCCTGGCCTCGCGATGCACGGCTGCCGGCCTACAGGAGTTGTCTTCTGCGGAGGCATCGAAGTTCATGTTGGGAGGTTCCTCAGCATAAGTACAGTATAGTATAACCCCCAAAACCCCATTCTAATTATTAAGGCCCCTATGTTAAGTACTGTTAGAGTAGGGTTTTGGGAGGGAAGCCGAAACAGGTCGTCTGATCGTAGAGGTGTTTGTAAACACCATGTCTTAGACTCGCCTTGTTTGAAGGCGGCACGCTCATGGGTTGCTCTCAAAGTTGGGATTTTTTTGGTACACTAGCTGGAGCGACGGGCAATTGCCGGAAGGTTTGTGTGATCTCAATCCTCCAGCTGCCACAGACCTTCTTCCAAAATTGGCCCTGACCTTTCAAACAAACTTCCTACCGACAAAAACCCTAAACACAAAACCCACAACCCAAAACCCCAAATCCTAAACCCACAACCCAAAACCCGAAACCCTAAACCCACAACCCAAAGCCCTAAATCCAAAACTCTAAATCCTAAACCGAGCGAGTACTTGCCAGCTTTGGCATGTCGGACCTGGGGCCCTCCAATAACACCACGAGCCAGGACAGCCCCCCAGAGAGCCCAATACCCCCTTAATTAAGGAATATACCGGTTTAGGGTTTAGGGTTTAGGGTTTAGGGTTTAGGTATAATATACCTTAAACGGTAGGGGCCTTAACATGATGATTCAAAGTATATTCCTTAACCCTAAACCCTAAACCCATAAATCATAATATTAAGGCCCCTATAATTTAAGGTGCATTCCTTAATTAAGGGGTATTGGGCTCTCTAGGTCCTTATTATCGAAGGGGATTCTTGCCAACAGCCGCCCATTTTCGCCGCACCCGCCGGCT